ATGATTACCTTTCTATGTTGTTATTATTAATAATAATTCTCTATCCTTTGATATTAAGCACTGTAATTAGAAAAAATGCTTGCTTAAAATAAAAAAAAATAATTTAAAAATACATTATCTTCCGGAAATACTATGGGTGACTGTTTTATAACATTTGTGTATGTAGAGAAAGAAAATTTTCCTTTGTACATTTATTTTTCGGTGAAATTATAACAGAAAATAGTTATTTTTTTTGTTGAATATTTTGCATTTTTGTTATTTAGGGAAAAATCCTTTTTTTTTTTTTTTTTACGTTTCCTTTTTTAATTACAATTATTTACAAATAAATTAACACAACACAACTGAATTGCGTCTCCATTTTTTGTACAGATTAAAATTCATAAAACTTAGAAATTATGAAGTCTGGAAATTTGTTTTTTTCTTTTTTTAAAAGGAAACTCAAAAAAAACAATTTCTATCTGAATGTGTGTGTGTGTGTGTGTGTGTGTGTGTGTGTGTGTGTGTGTGTGTGTGTGAGAGAGAGAGAGAAAGTAATAAAAAGATAAAATAAAATTTTCCCAAGTCACCTTATTTTAAATTACCCTGATATTAAAAATGCTAGTATTTTTTAGTCCTATTTTTCTTTATTTATTTCTGTCTTAATTGCCACTTGAAAAAAAAAAAGCATTTGGCTTTTTGATTAAAACAAACAAAAAAGCAACAAAAAATCTTATGTGTCTTATTAAAAAAAAAAAAAAACAGAAAAGAAAACATGGGCACCCTATTTATTTATTAAAAAGTAAAATACGAAAATTTGTGCATTGTAATTAAAAAACTGAAAAACCTTTTTGCACGCTATCATTCAACAAAAAAATAAGAAAAAATCTGCACCCTATTATTTAAAAAAAAGAAACACGAAAAATTGTGTACCCTAATTATTTAACAAAAAAATACGAGAAAAAATACACAATAAACAAAAACTTCGAAAAAAATACTAGATTGCTCTCTATTAGTTAACCAAAAAAAATAGAGAAAAAAATTCTGCGCCCAATTATTATTATTAAACAAAAAAGATTTGTCAACCCTAGTGTTAATTTTTAACTCAGCCAACTTACTGTAAAATTTTTACAATCTACTTATTGATTTTTCACAGCTAAGTGTTTCCATCCATTTTTACACATTTTATTAATAGAGTAGACTTTTGGTGTGTATTTTTGACAGATTTAAAAACTTCTCTAACAACTACAAAACAAATTCACATTTCGAAAATAATGTTATTGTTCTCTACACCTTTAAAATCCAGTCGAAGTACCAATTTATTTATTTACTGAAGTAAGAAGCACATAAAAAATCTCACCCATCATTACAGTACTTTTAACGTCTTCAGACTTACTTTCTTACATAAGGTGTTACATTTTATTCTTATTACTTATAAATTACTTTTACCTTCAGATTTTCATTTACTTTTGTTTATTTCTTACATTAAGTTCAGACGAGCACTGTTAAAAAAAAGTTTCTGTACATAAAGAGTTATCTCCCTTTACACATAAACGCTTACTGAGAGATTTGTTTTTGTTTAGTTTTTTTTTAATTTTACAGTATTCATCTTTAGTTTGTTATTAATTGTCAGTCTTTATTTTGAAACTAACTGTACTGTTCTCCATTAAAGTATATGTTTGACAGACAACAGCATACCTGTGTTTATTATCTCAACAATCTTTACTGACAAAATAGATTCTCATCTTTATCTTGAGCAAGTTTTTCAGGGTCCCTTTTTAAAAATCTTGATTACAAATAAAACGATAACACAAGAAAGCTACAAGTAATCGTGAGTAAAGAAATATTTGGCTTATTGAGCAATCATTTTATCAAACCTGAAAACATGGATTGAAAAATTATTCTTAAATTGCCTTTTTACAATATGGTAACATTTAATAATTGACTCATTTATATAAAAAATATTTATAATACATTCCCACAAAGTTCAATGCATTCCAATAATTTAGAAAAAATTTATTGGTTACAAAAGTTTTCTGGCCAGCCATTATGAAGGTACCTTGATTAAAGTCCATCAGAAGATGAAATGCATCAGCTAAGATAAGTTTTCCTTTTGTCTTTATTCATATTGTCTTTTACAAGTATAATTTTAGTTATATCAGAAATTTTTACATATATATGAATTGGGATCAAATGCAGATCAAATATGGATCAGAATCCAACAGAATGGTAGGATAAAGAACAAAAAGGAAAGGTTTATCAGAAAATGTTTCACATTTATTAATGCTTTATCAGAGAATATATGGAGAAAAAGAAAACTTCAAAGGGACACATCATCTTTCCTTGAATTCGGAAAGACCGCAAATTATAGTAATGTTGGTTCAAAAGAATTGAATGCATATGATGCATGATTGGCAAATGAAAATCAGACAACACAAAGGTAAAAATGTCAGAATTTCTTTCTCCTTTTATTCCATATTTAATCTCTGACAAAGCTTTAAGAAAAGTGAAACATTAAATTGATAAACATTTCTTATTTGTTTTTTATCTTAAATAAATAAATAAATAGATTTAGTTTTATAGCACATTTACAGCTATATAAGAGTCATACATTTTTTTTTCTAGGCAGTTTTATATGACCCTCATGACTTTTCAATTTCTATAACATTTTTCCTGATGATTTTACCAGTAAATTTGATTTTTTTTAAAATATTCAACTACGGTCTCTTGTCAAATGCAACATCTTTAAAGTTCCAAATTCTTTTTAGAAGAATTAGAAAAAGAAACTATGTCTATGCAAAAAATCTCAACAGAAAATGAGATATGAAGAAAAAGAAATTAACCAATGACAAACAACACAAGAATAAAAATACCATAATTTATTTTTCTCCATATCTCATTCTCTGATGAAGCTTTAATAAACATGAAAAATTTTAGGCGATAAACATTCCCTATTTGTTCTTTATCCTATCCTATATATATGTCTTGTTTTTTAAATCATTTCATCCAATGCCACTAAGATGCAAGGGATTACTCGGAATGAAAGAGAATGAGAAGACTTTAGTGAGAAGAAAGGACAATAAAAGAACAAGATTCAGGAAGACAGAAGAAGGCAATGTACATTGCTTTAAATCTTTGAAGATTATAGGCGGCAGTGAAGCAAGAAATCGGAAAGAGTTCCACAGGTCAGAAGTGTGAGAAAAAAACTATTAGAATTGAATATATTTCTCTTGTAAAATGACAGGCATTCTTTAAAAATATTTTCCAAATATTGGCAACATTTATTCATTTAACAATAGAAATGCACTAGAAAAAAAGCTTACATTTTATATTCCTGTGCATTGTTGTGCAGTATGCTCCAGAAATACCTCCCACATAATGGTAAGACATTAGCTACATGAAGACACCATTGTTACTCATGTCTTACCACTATGTAAGAGGTATTTCTGGGAGGTATTTCTGCCACACACTGTACAACAGAGTTTTAAAAAATTCATAGAAGGTTTCAGATTCAAATTTGTTTTATTTATTTATTAATTTTTTTCCAGTAATATATTCTATTTTCTGAGTCCTTGAATAAATAAAATAATTCTATTTTATAAATTTCATTAAAAAAAAATATGAAAAGAAAAATGAGATCTAAAATTCAGTTTGGGATACTACATTTGAATAGTGAGGACAGGAATCTTTTTATTAAGTGTGTGCAAGAATTTCCAGCATTATTATACAGAGTTCAATGGGTAAATTGTCACCATTTTATATTTTTAATTTTGCACATGTGCATTGTTTGTTTTTGATTTTGTTGACTGCACAGTATAGTAGGGTCAGTTGGGCACCACCTGCGAGAAAAAGAGAACCATGACATAATTCACTCTACTGGAAATTTGGAAATGGCATGCTGTACTGTTTGGCCTTTGTGTCAGAAGCTCCAGTACGAACATTTCAGAGTGTTTGGGTGTCAATCTGGGGACAGTATAGAGTACTAAGAGTGATGAAAACCAAATATCCATTCAACATCATGGTGTTTGGAATGATTACTAGTTATGATGACATTATGCCTCCATTCATCTTCCCACAGGGCCTCACACTCAACCCAGAGGCCTGCATCAAGTGCCTTGAGGAGGTAGTGCTGCCCTGAGTCAAGAGGGTGACTGCTAGAAGACCTTATGTCTGGCAAAAGGCCTCTGCACCATGTCACACAAGCAGGAGAACCTAATCATGGCTGTCAGACAATTTCTATAATCACATCACCCCTTACATCTGGCCACCTAACTCCCCAGACTGCAGCTCCCTTGATTATTATGTGTGGCACAGTTGAGCGAGAGACCAACAAAACTCCTTGTAACACCAAAGATGAACTGAAGGCAAGAATTATGGCAGTATTCACCGACTTAAACGAAGAGATGCAGGAGATTTTGAAGTCGTCTGGAGACCGTGGTTGAAGCCAGTAGTGATTTTATTAAATAAATTTACTCTTTTGTATTTCAAGATATTTTTGTATAATTTTGGTAAATATATCTCTTAAAATGAGATGTCAGTGTTATTTTCATTTTTGCATAATTTAGATGATAATTCATCCATCACAAACTGTAAATAAAATTAAAAAAAAAAAATTTCTACCATGTATTCAGTCTCTAGTTAGTAAAAAAAAAATGGTGGGTGACATTTTTTGTATAGGTATCAAGTTTATTTTTCTACTGCTTCTAGAAAAAATTTGGAAGTTTAAAGATGTATTTTACTAGAAAGCAGTTGTCTAAAAAAAAAAAAAAAATTCAGACTTACTGTTAAAATCATCAGGAAAAATGTTATAGAAATTATGGAAAAGTCATGAAGATCAAATAAAATCTCTTAGAGAAAATGTTTCTATTTTCAATTTCTGTTCCTTACTGGCAAAAGTTATTAGATTTGTTTATTGATAATAGTAAAAAATGAATATATGTAAAAAGAAAATATATATAGAGAGAGAAATGATAATGAAAGAGAGGGAGAAAACTGCAAAGGATGAGTGAGAAGAAAAAAGAAAATTAAGGAGGAAATAGTGAAAGAGAGATACTAAAAAAGAACTCAGGAAATGAGAAAAAAAAATAATTTTTTAGAAGGGAAAAATGTATGAAGAAAAGAGAGAGCAAAATAAAAGAGGGAGAAATGATGAGAGAGAGAGAGAGAATTGCAAGAGATGAGCAGAAAGAAAAATGGAGAAATGATAAGGAAAGAAAGGGAGGGGAATTGCAAAAGATGAGTGGGAAGAAAAAAGAAAGATATAGAGAGAAAGAAATTCTAAAAAGAACTAAGGAAATGAGAGAAGAAACAATTTTTGGAAGGAAAAATATATGAGAAAGAAAGCAAGAATAAAAAAAAGAAGAAGAAATGATAAGTAAAGAAAAAGAAATTGCAAAAGATGAGTGGGAAGAAAAATTAAAAGAAAAAAAGGAAGAAATAAATACTAAAAAAAGAAATAAGGAAAAGAGACAAGAAAAGCAATTTTTTAGAAGAGAAAAATGTATGAAAAGAAAGCAAAGAGGAAGTAGAGAATAGGATGCCTCACTCTGATGTATCTATCAATGAACTAGTCTACCATGCTGTATTGTAATGAGTTTGATTCTCATTAGGTGCTCATTAAGTTTGTAGCCTTGTGCCAGACTAAAGCTTAATACATGTCAGAGGTTGAATAAAAAGATGAAATATAAGGAGAGAGATCAAATCTCAGAGAATGTGATACTTCAGTCAGTTATGTGCCATGCGTGATACACGCTTAGATGATCATGTATCTTTCGATACATGATTGACAAGGCAGATTTTTCCCCGCAGTAGGTTGCCATTTCTTTCTGCGGTAGACCAGTTGCCATCCAAGGCTAAAAGAACCCAGTCTATCCTGCTATTTACCCATAGCTGGGCGGAGAAGAGGATTCATACCTTTCCCGATGGTATTAACACTCAGCTCTCCGATTCCTCAATCCGAGCCACTTATTCATTACTCCATCATGCCTTCTCCTTCAAATGTGTGAAATAATGTTTTTACTGGTTAAATAGAACCAATGTTTTTATTGGTCAAAAAGTTTTTTTAGCAATCACTACTTTTCAAATAGCACTTCTTAATTAATTTTGATATTTTTCTATTCAGAGATTATATTTGGGATCAGGGATAGCACATACTACAAACCTGATTGGGGGTCCAGTCAGTGCTTTATAACTCTCCCCATCTTATCAACATTTGCTTTTTTCTACCTACATTTATATACGTTACAAATTCAACTAAGCACAACTAACTATTAAAGGATGAAAACTTTTTGTGGATTTTGACGTCATTCTGGGGTCTTTTTTTTTGTCCAAATCTGTGAATTTGTTTTGCTCATGCTAAGTCTTGAAAAAATACTATATAAAATTCACTATTTTTTATCCATAATGTTGAATGTGTTTAAATTATTCAACTTTTTAACAAGAAAAATTCTCAAGTTTCTGTTAAAAACTCCTGCAAAAAATTGATTAATTTAAGATGGAATAACCTATTATGATGTGTCTTCAATTTGTATTAAGATACAATGTATTTATTTTCAATTTTTCTAGTTGAATTGTTCATCTATACTGAACATGATCTATTATTGTACATAATTAGATTACAATAAAATTTGTATTTTATATGAATCAGTCAGTTATGTGCCATGTGTGATACATGCTTAGGCAATCATGTACCTTTAGATACATGACTGACAAGGCATATTTTTTCCAGTAGTAGGTTGCCATTTCTTTCTGCGGTAAACCATCCAAGGCTACAGAACCCAGTCTGTCCTGCTATTTAACCATAGCTGGTGGGAGAAGAGGAGGATTCATACTTTTCCCAAGGGTATTAGCACATAAGTGAATGTAACAGATTCGACTGGAATTCGAACTCGGCTCTCCAGTTTCTCAAGCTGAGCTGCTATCCATTACTCCACTGTACTATCTTATGAAAACTGAGATGTAGTAGAGTTGGGGGAGGGGGGCACAAGGCCTTTGCACCAGACCTGTTTCGGATGCTAAAAACAAGAATAACTATAAAAATTTAGGTTTTCTTTTAATTTTCATATTTTTAATACAATATACGGATGACACATAGATGTGAAGTTAGTGTAATGTTTGTTGGTGTGGAAAGTGAAATCATCAAACTGAGTTGAAATTCTAGTTGATTCTGTTTCATTTACTTTGTACAGTGAAGTTGTACAATACACAATGCAACCAAAAATAAACTTTTTTTTTCAATTTTGTTTTTTCATAATTCTATAGATTAAGCAATCAAGAAAAAAAAATTTGTCAAGGTTTAACCTTTGTGGCTGCAGAAACAAATGGTGTGTCAAAAAGATGGCTGACATCCTTGACACCGCTATCATGTTCCACACTTTTGACTCCCACAGCAATGTGTATTTACAAGATTATAAAAATATGTGAACCAAGTACAATGAAATATTTACTATTTAACTTTTATAAAGATTTATTATTTACAATTTTATAAATAATTAGGAAAAAAAGTTTTTTATTCATAGTTTTATAAAAATATCAACGAACTACAAAACAAGAAAATTTGAATAAATAGCTAATTATAATAATAGTTAATAATAGTTAAAATAGTTAATATCATTAACTATTTCTCTTTTTAACAACAGTAAATATTACTGAAGAAGTCAAAAGTGTGTACAGTGATACCAGTATCAAGGGAATAACTGTCCGTTTGACACACAATTTTTTTGCAGGCATGAATGTTAATCATTGCTGCTTGTTTTTATTTGAGATGACTCCAAACAAGCCTTTGTTACATAGTTACCAATAGACGCTTAAATATTACTAAAAGAGATATCAACACAGTGTAAATATGTAAAAGAAGATATTCATCAAACTTAAGTTGGTCTGACACAAGGCCATAATAAAGGAGCACCAGTGAAGATTAAACACATTAGCAACAGCTTGTGAAATCAGTGTACTAGCTATTGTGCCATGATATGTAATTTGCTGTCTCCCACTGAAAAAAAAAAAAAATTACTATAAAAATCATCTGAATAAATGTCAACATTAATAAGCATCCTACTCCACCAAAAAAAACAAAAAAAAAACAAAAACAAAAAAAACATTTTGTCAGGAGTATGATTATGAGCTATCACAGCACTGAGGATCCATTCTCAGACAGTACCTCCTTATTCCATGAAAAAGCAGGTTAGGGTAGGGGCATTATTTTTATCAGATTATCCCTTTAAGATCAGGAACACCCAAATGCCCATGCAAGTTTCACAAGCATACAGTCCAGGAGTGTCTGAATGTGCCCGCAGTGAGTAGTACTGTATTTCAATACACAGCTTATAACCATTATATGTTTAATTAGAGGCACTAGAAATTTCCAACTTTGTAAAAGCTGTAGATTTCCAAAACCATATCTCATAACCAGTAACACCAAGGAGGCTAACTTTGGTATCAATTTGTAAAACTTGATTGTCAACAGGTTTTGAAATACATAAATTTAATTGCACTAACATCACATAGTCAAAATTTTTACCAAATCAGTCAGGACTCCGAGGATTTAGCAACTGAAACCTCTTAAGAGCTAACAGGGTTAAGCAATTCCAATATTTAATAAGAGAATTATAGTGAAGTGTGTAAGTGTACAATCTTCTTTGTAAAATGTAATACTTATAAAATCCATGATACCCTAGAGGTGGAATGGAGTGCAATTATTGGTTTGAGATCAAAGGGAAGAGCAGGAAAAAATCTGTAGGAACAGCCTTCAGGAAAAGTCTCTGAAATTTTTATTTGATACAAAAAAAAATGTTGAGATCAATCTAGAAAGATGTTTTAACCTTCCTATTGTCATACTGAGATCTTTGGAGGTTGATCAAACAAAAAGAGAGAGAAAGAAAGAAAGAAAGAAGTAATAGGAGAGAGAGCCTACTAACTGGATGATAACTGTTGAAATTGCAGGAAGATGGATTGAAAAGTTAAGAAAATTAAGAACGGAATGCATTGAAAAATCAGGTTTTGATATAATTCCAAGGAGAATCAAACCCAGATTTCCCTAGACAAAATTCACTAAGATTGAACAAACCCAAGATGGCCTGTTCTTCCCCATATCCCATTGATAAGAAAGATACCATAAAAGTATCTACGATGATGTCAGATAAAATAAAAACATATGAGAAATAGAGAAATCCAGGTGGTCAGTGAAATGACACTCATGATTCCCCTGGATCAGATAAAATAAAAACATGTTTTGAATCAATCATCCAGAAGAAAAGAACTCCACACATTTGTCATTATAATTTCAGTGACATTCATCCACAGAAAATTTTATATCCAAACATTAATTTGGATTCCCATGGATACAAGTGGTAAGAAAAAATTAATTACTATTTTGAAGTGACCATGGATAAAAGAGGCTGTGTGGTCTGTTGAGTGTAAAAAAAAAAAATGCATTGACAGAAAAAAGATAAACTTTTTTAAGGAGTGTGGAAATAATATTTTTCCTTTTCCAATTCTTAAGTGGTCTGGTCAATTGAAAAATCACAGCATGGGACAAGCTGATAGATAAGGACTAATGACTGAAAATCCATATTGTCTTTGCTGCACCATCTGGAAGTTGGATTTATCACTCCATCCCCAAGAAGCCAAGCTGAGGTTGACTGATGAGAAAGAGGGAGAAGTAAGAAAAAAGAGAAGGGAGAGAGAGAGATTAGCACCAGCTATATAAAGCAATGGTATGAGGCAAAGTGAAAAGAGAGTAGGAGTTAAGGGGTAGCTTGATTCCTCTGACCACTCTCAAAAGGGAGCTGGACAACCCCAAATTTAGAAAATCACTGGAGTTAATGTATTTTTATATATGGAAATTTAGAAAAGGTTGATACTTAGGGTAGGAGACAACCAAACCCAGACCCTAGTCAACCCCACTCCTACCAGATGCAGGACTCCACATAAGCTGGAGATTTGGGACTTGGAATCTGCATCATTTGCTAAAATCTCCTGACCAAAGACCTTGTACCAAATACGAAGACAAGAAATTAGAAATTGTAGTTACTACTAAAACAAGCTGTAGACTCCAAATGGGATCCCATTGTCATTTTATTATAACAAGTGGGAAGGGTTAAAACTGCTGTACACCACAAATCATATGTAAACCAAATTGTTGTTACATTTTTAACCCGAGTTAATTCTTTATTCCAAAGGATTCTTGTTTTTTGTGTAGCTCCCAAATGATTGAACCATCTTCACTTCAAGTTTGCTTCATCAACAATCTTCTCATCCTCTGAGATCAAAAACCCAACGTGGCAGAGAAGTGGATGGTCGTGAAGAGATAAATGCTAGTTAAGTCGAGTAGAACCATGCCACCAACATGATACCAGCACCAAAATAAGTCATGCACTAATGAATAAAGAGTCAGCTAAACAGTAACTACAGCAGTCTGAAGGAACTTGAGGACTGACGACTGGGAGACATAATTGGTTACTGCTGTCTAGGGCCAATGACAGGGTGTTGCGTATTTGGTTACCATTGACCAGGTTCGACACCGGGTATTGCAATATCACTTTGGTAATTTAGCAATTCAAATGTCAGTGTGACACTATGTAGGTAGACCAGGTCAAAGGCTGGAAGCACGGATCAGTTAACATGTATTAGCTAATATTCGCAAGGGCAAGATAGACAATTTGCATAGGTGTGTGAATAATAGATGAACATTTGCTAAAACGGTTCAGCAATAGATGAACATTTGCTAAACAAAAAAACATCAATGTGCTCAGTCTTATAACAAAGATATGTTCCCAGTACTGAGGAAAGCTAATGCTGAATTCAATTTGAAGGTGTTGGAATCTGTTTATATTAATTCCTGCCAGCCATCTCTCTGTAAGCACAAGGAGTGGTTGGTGGGCTTAAATGTAATTAACGTTTAATATTTTTTTTTTATGTATAACATTAGTCTGGGTTTGTACAAATTTTTAGTTGCCATGCACATTTTTTTTTATACTCAATTTCTGGTCTGATGAGAGTAGACCAATAAACCAGTTTAGCTGTTTTGAATCATTATTATATTTCAGTATTACCAATTTACAGTAATATATATTTTTTGTTACCCCCTCATTTTTATTATAAATTGTTTCTTTTTGTTACAAAACACACTTTAATATGTCTATTTTTATTGCCCTAATCAAATCTTGTATTCCAGAAAATAAGTATAAATGGACAGGAAAAAAATATATTCATTTTTTTCCTGTCTATTTATACTTATTTTCTGGAATTTGGCCTACAGACTTTTTCCACATATAATACTTATATAAAAATGTTAGAAACTAATGTCTCAGAAAAAAAATAAAAAAATAAAGGAAAATGAAGTTTTCTGATTTATTTTGAAAATTAATAGCTATAATGATTTTAAACAAATAATACAGCCCAGTTCAATAGCATTGTCATAGACTGAAACCAAGAATATAAATTTAGTCCTCTGTAAAGTTCTTAGTCCCGGCAAAAATGAGGAGGATAAAACCCATCTCCAGTCCTCTCTATAGTACCATGGATGTACATATACAGACAGACAGTAATCTGAGTAATTTTTGAAAAAAAAAAAAGTCGGTTGACTTAGTTGCTAGCAACAGCTGCATTGACGAAGTTTAGATAACATAAAAAAAAAAATTATGGAGACAAAAATTGCAAATATCTATAATGTTATTCTGCCTTTTCTTTCCTGTGTTCAAATGTTACAGTTTCACTAATAATATATAAGGAGAAATATTCTGCTTGATTAGACGTAAATATGTTATGCTTTCTGGCTCAAAACCTGCTTCAGCAAATCCTGTCATGATTTGAACTTCTGACCTGGAAGTCAGCGCACAAATGACATATCCATTAGGCCAGTGTTCTGCTTGACTACACACAGAATTTAACTTGGAAATACAAAATGAAGAAATTTTTTTTTCTTTTACTGTTTATAATTATTTGAGTTTGTCACCACAATGATAATTCGAAAAAAAGCTTAAATTTTGTTTGCATTGTTTAACCCCGTATCCTCAGGAGTCAGTTTAAGCTGAAATCATTTTCAGAAAAAAAGTGAAACACATTAAATTATAAAATTATTAGTGTAAAAAATATTGATGCACTCTTTTTGGTACAACCTCGATTCTTTCAACCATTCCACATGACATCACGGTCAATTGTTTTAAACTTTCAGCTCTCTATAAAATACCAGGATATAGTCAAAATAACATTGCCTACTACACAGACAGCACTTGATTTTTGCTAATGACTCCATATTCAGCAAAATTTTCACTTTCCAAAGTCATAGTTTATAATCATAATCTAGAACAGAAGGTATCAGTTTAAACTGAATCCAGAAATATATGAGTCAAAATGACATGTTCTTTTTTTCCCATATATTGTGACCATTTTGTTTAAAGTTTACATGTTTTGATTTTAGATGGAAATTTTCCAATATGCTTCAGTGAAATTCTCACTTTCCAAAATCATAGTTTATAATCATAATCTAGATTTAGAGAAAAGTGATGGTGTCAGTTTAAACTGATGTCATGAAGATATGAGTAAATAAGTTTCATGCATTGATTTATTTGCACAAAATAAATAAATGAATGCCTGAATAAAAGTGACAAGTTCAAATAATTAAAAAGAAGTAATTCATAACGTGTTATATGCAGGATATTGTAAATTCATAACAGCCTTATCTCCAGGTCAGAGTTTCAAATACCATGGAATTTCCACGGGTCCAAGTAGTGAGTATTAATCATCAAAGGCATGAGCAAAAAATACTGCTAATATCTGTCTTCATAACCATTCCTGACACAAACAGTTACCCAGCATTTATTTGTGTTTACAGTTGCTATTTGAGGAACTTGGGTCAATTTCAAATACAAGACATTAACTTAATATATATTTAAAGTTACTAACTGAAGCACACTAAACCCTTAACTTCCTGCATTGCATAATCTTCTATTTTGTGTAAATGTCATTTTTTAAAGTCATCTCTCTCAAAGTGATTAACAGACAAACCCCAAATCTATCATTCTGCATTTGATCAAAAACAAAACAAAACATGGAGGTTACATAATTTTAAATGAATATCTATTTTTTGTCTTTTTTCTCAAAATCCTTACAGATCTAGAATAGCAGTTTTAAAGATTCTTTTGATGTAGAGTTGAATAATTTCCAGAAAAACTGACTCACCCAATTTTCTTGGAGTTTAAGTATTATTTTAGAGAATTTGTTAACTGTTGCCTATCACTTGAAGGACATTTGTAATACCACAGATTACAAACACGGAATGGAAAAACTTAATATCAGTCAATCAGTTGTTTTCCTTTTTACAAAGAACTGTGAATTCAGGTTCACATTTTACCATATTGTGAAAAGGCCTCTTTTAAAAGATTTCATAATTTATTAGGTTGAGTCATAATTAATTTCCGTTTTGGGGAACCAATTGTAATGACAAATATATCATCCCAACTACTAAACATACATGGCAGTTAAGAAAAGATTTTGCGTATACTAACTGCGTATATTAATTGTTAGTAGCAGCATACATGGCGGATTAAAGGAAAAAAAGTTGTTCTCCATGATAATGTAAAGAATAATAAGGGAAAAAAATTTTGGAACTCATTTGGTCTGTTCTACCCTGCCTGCCATGTTCACATGACCTTGAACTAACAAATTTTTACTGTTTTCTTGATTACTGCAAAACACTTTGATGGGGAAAATCTTCTCTAATGAAAAACTAGACATAAGAGTTTATTGAAAACTTTTTCACATCAAAACATGCAGAATTTTACTCAAAAGGTATCAAAGAGCTGCCTTATAAGTGGCAACAAGTCATTGCAAATAATGGTCGATATATAACCAGGTAAGATGCAACTTTATTTTTTGAAGAATAAAATTATTAAACAAAATCAGAAATTATTTATGACTCAACATAATATACAATATTTGTGTTGTATTAGAAAACTAATGTCAAAAGACAGATTAAAATACTAATAAAAAAGAATAACTTTCAAAGCTCAACATAATGCCAGTAAAATGTTTTTGTTTCTTTTCATTAATTATCAAACTAATCATTTTACAGACCTCAGCATAAGCAACAGAACTATTCATGACAAAACCCCACCTTAGTGGTTCTACCTGATGTACATAAAAATCTTTTATCACCATAGATATGTATAAAAAATTTGTAAATTTAATTTTTCAATGTTTCCTCAATATTTTTCATTGTCATTAATTAATATTTGTCCAATTTTTTTTTTGTTTACAATATAAAAAAACAGAAATTTTATCAAAAATGCTTAAAAAAAAGGCCTTTTATGCAATATGTTAACATCTTTAGAATGTACATAGTTACAAAGCATAAATAAATATATTTTTTTAAGCAGTTTCTCCCAAAGGAGGCAGTGTTTGGAGTTGACTTGATTGTGAATAATGATTCTGTGGAATACTAATTAAGGAAGTATCATACTGTGGAACTAGCAGGGGTACATTAGTCTGCAGGGGTCCATATTGAGGTACTTTTAGGAGCTGTACAGGAGTTGACTCCAAGAGAGCTTTCTCAGTTGGAACTCTAATCTGCTGTTGGCTCAAAGTGTTAGACATTGTGGATTGACCATTCATATTTTTATCTGGGGAGTTATGCAACTGTGAGTCTTTATTTGGGTCATAGACGCTATTTGAAGAGGTTGGTACCAGCTGAGTTTCTGGTATTTGAGATTCCTGGGTCAGATTCTTTGTCAATGGTGAGGTGCTTTGTCCAGATAACGGGGTCCCATCTGGCAGGGGTAAGTGGCTATTGCTTAGAGGTATTTCCTGGGAAGTTAGATGGGAAGATGTGTGAGCTCTATTTGCTGGGGTCATGGTGTTGCTCTGGGATTTGTCTGGAGACAGATGGCTCATATGATTATTCTGAGATCTATCTGAAGAGGAAATATGATTCATGTGATTGTTTTGGGGCTTGTCTGGTGGTGAGAGATGGTTCATATAGGTACTACTAGGCCGGTCTGACTGTGGTAGGTGGTTCATGTGATTACTTTGAGGTCTGTCTGATGGTGAAACATGGTTTATATTGCTATTTTGGGGTCTGTCTGATGGTGAAAGATGATTCACTTGGCTACTATTAGGTCTGTCCAATGGAGAGAGATGATTCACATGGGTACTGTTAGGTCTGTCCGATGGAGAGAGATGATTCACATGGGTACTGTTAGGTCTGTCCAATGGAGAAAGATGGTTCACATGGGTACTGTTAGGTCTGTCCGATGGAGAGAGATGATTCACATGGGTACTGTTAGGTCTGTCCAATGGAGAAAGATGGTTCACATGGGTACTGTTAGGTCTGTCCAATGGAGAAAGATGGTTTACATGGGTACTATTAGGTCTGTCCAATGGGGGGAGATGGTTTACCTGGGTACTATTAGATCTGTCTGATGGTGAGAGATGGTTCATATGGATACTATTAGGTCTTTCCAATGGGGAGAGATGGTTTATCTGGGTACTGTTAGATCTGTCTGATGGTGAAAGATGGTTCACATGGTTACTGTTAGGTCTTTCTGATGGTGAGAGATGGTTCATATGGGAACTGTTAGGCCTGTCTGGTGGTGAGAGATGGGTCATATTAGTATTGTTAGACCTCTCTGAGGAGGAGAGGTGGTTCATATGGGTACTATGGGACCTGTCCATTGATGACAGGTGGTTCATGTGAGTACTTTGGGGCCTGTCTGATGGTGACAAATTGTTCATTTGGCTACTGTGGGGTCTCTCAGGAAGAGTTAACTGATTGTTATGGGAATGTGATCTGTTGGGGGAAGACATTGGTGTTGTCTGGTTCCTGTTGCTAGGAGACATTGGATTTAGGTGAGATCTTTCCGGTGAAGACATCTGATTCATGTGAGGGCTATTGTGTGGAGATAGTGGATTAACGTGAGATGATTCTTGGCTGGGCATCTGATTGGGTTGATGTCTGTCATGTAAGTTTAGGATGTTGTTTTGATGATGGTCAAACTGTGTCAATTGGTTGCCCTCAACTTTTGGAATCTGGTTCATTTTAGCATGGCTAGAAAGCATCAGCGGCATAGGCTGAGATTTTTCTAGAGGTTTTCCCAGAAAGTCCTTACTGTCAGTATTCATTACTGGATTTCCCTGTATCCCTGGACTATCTCGGAAATACTGTTTCAGGCTATAAGACAAAGGAAAATGATTCGGTATGTATCCATCTGGAGGTGGGTAGGCAAATGGGTCTCGGATATGGTGCCCAAAATAACCAGACTGCGCAAAATGGTGAAACAGAGACATCTCCATAGGTTTGTCATGAGGATGAGGGTTTCGTATCTGTTGTGAAGGTATCGGGTAGGGTGAAGCACCTGGCACTGGCTGCATGTGAGGATCCTGTTGGGGTCGGTTGGTCAGGGCTACAGCTGCTGCTGCCATCTGCTGAGGGTGGTTAAGTTGGTTAAATGAAGGAAAGAAATTAGGTTGATACCCGTCATTTGATGGCACAGGAGAATTACTTGTCTTAATTGTCGAAATAGAAGGTAGAGGTTGGGGCCTGCCCAGGGTATCACACTGACCAGCAAACTTGTTACGTCGATTTCCATGAGAATCATCCAGTGGTACTTTGCCCTCATGTTTATTGCGCATGTGCTGGTTCAGGTGACTGCACTGAGCAAAGTCCCTGTTGCACAATGAACAGTGGTAGGGTTTCTCTCCTGTGTGGGTCCTCATGTGTTGAACAAGATTGCTAGACTGTGTGAACTCCTTGTAGCAAGTATAGCATTTGTAAGGCTTTTCACCTGTGTGCCGGCGTATGTGCTGGTTGAGGTGGCTTGCTTGGGCAAAGCTCTTATTACAATGCGGACACACAAAAAGTTTCACACCTGTATGGGTCAGCGTGTGCTGGTTGAGGGTTGAACGCTGGGCAAAGTCCTTGTCACAGTACGTACATTTAAATGGTCTCTCCCCAGTGTGTGTCCGTAAGTGCTGCTGTAGATGCGAGGACTGTGTAAAGTCCTTGTTACACAGCTTGCATTTGTAAGGCTTTTCCCCAGTGTGTAAGCGCATGTGCTGCAACAACGTACTCTGCTGGGCAAAGCTGCGTTGGCATATCTTGCACTGGTAGGGTTTAATTGGGTTGTGAATGTTTTGGTGGGTCTTCAGATTGCCCAGCTGGGAGAAGGATTTGTCACAGCTGGGACACTTGTAAATTTTTTCTGGACGTGGCTTCTGGGGGAGTGCTGGTGCTGATGACATGGTCATACCTGACGGGGGCATCATACCACTGGAGGATGTAGCTGTTGGTGGAGCTGAAGGGAGTGGTTGATGGTGAAGGGGCGGGAGGGGAGGCAACAAAGGTGTGGGCACTTCTCCCAGACATTCAATATCACTGTCCTTTAGCAATGCCAGCATGTCCCTGGCATTGCAGGGTTCTAACCAAAACGACTGAATGGTGAAGCCGGTTGAAATAATGCTCCAGAGAAGAGATCAAGGCCAATCTTTTGGCCACAAATTGATACGAGTGATCAAAATAAAAAGAGTCAAGTTATTATTTTTAGGCTTAAATTTCTCTAGTTTTTTTATTTTCTGCTGCTTCCCAGGTCTGATGTTGTGTTCACAATGAAGCATTTAAAAAGAGTTTGTTTTTTCTTTTTTTAGACTTAATTTTCCAATAAATTCTGCATTTTCAACTTTTATGTCTTTCCCATTAAAAATAACGGGAACAGACATAAAATAAAATAATAAATAATGCAAAATTAATGTTATATTTCTTTTTCTGTTTTCTTTTTTTCGTTTTTGTACGTTGCGTTTTCCACTTCAGAAACAGCATTCACTGTAAAACATTGAAGATAAATAAAGATATATATACATATATTTATATATATATATATATTTCCTCAAAAACTTAGTATTTTTCTTTGCATCCCCTTTGTATTAAATATTGGGATGATGTTAAAAATAAAATATTTTAAAATTTTACTCAAATATCATAAAACACTGCTGACATCAGAAAAAAAAAAAAAATGAAACCTGTCAGATTATAAAAACTCCTCCAAATATATTTTCCAAGTGGCCATTAATTTTTGTATTCTCTGCTTTCTTCCATTATTTTGGAAGTGAGGCAAAAACTTTAAGATTTTATTTCACAGCGTCCAGTTATGTTAAGGAATTATCTGAAAGTTCTTGGAGTCCCTGGTTAGAAATGGTGTCTTCATAAAGCTTCTTTCTTGCTTCCTTTTGGTTTTTCATTGAAACATCCTGTTTTCAAAAGAAAAAAGAAAAAACTTTTACAAAAAGGATTTATCAAATTGTAAAAGACTACAAAAAAAAAAAAATCTTCTTTTGTAGAAAACATGAAAGAATTTACTTACATTATTTACATGTCATCATCTTTATCACAACATTTTGGCTATTGTGCTCTCTGGATTTTTTCAGGTGTCTATCAATCCAGGTAACCATCATTAAATTTAAAACTGAACCCTTTAAGTTCTGGCGGTAGATTGTTCTCATTCTGTTGTCTCTGATGAGGAATATCTTTGCTTGTTATTTTTAGTACTACTCAGTTGTTACTTACTATGTTTCCACCAAATCTAAGTTTGTACTACCCAGCACAGGGATTGAACTCACAATAACAAACCCATAAGCTAGCAGATTAAAAATTTAATAGTATAATAATTGTAAGTCAAATTCTTGGATAAAAGAAAATTTTTTTTTTTTTTCTGGGAGGGAACAAGAGAAGATAGAACTTCCACTCCTTAATCCAGAATAATATTAGGTTGGTGCAAAAAATAATGTCGTTTTTGATGTTAAGTTGAACGTCAAAAAACGACATTATTTTTGCACCAACCTAATATTTAAAAAAAGGTGCAAACAGAAAAAAAAAAAAAAAACTTGAAATTACTTTGTGAAATTTGAAAGCTACAAACATTTAATAAACTGATACAAAACAATATAACAAACTACAAATTTTACAAAATATCTGACCTAAAGATTTCCTTTCGTGCACTTTACTAAGAACAAAGCAAGATAGCATAACAAAATTATAGAAATAATCTAAAAAAAAAAAAGATTCACAAATACAATTCACAATACAAATTTTTTCAAGTCAAAAAAGAAAGAAACTTTGAGAAGAGGATATGAAAACTGGTGGAATAAAAGAAGAAATTACACTTAGTAAAAAAGGTGCAGCCTACCTAATAGATAAGTGAAAAAACATATATGCTTTTTTGATGAGAATCCCAAGGGGATTTAATGGTCTTTTACAATGTTTTTTTTTATTTTTGAAGTTTCCTTTGTGGTTAGCCTAAAGGTTCTCTTTGTTGTTGTTCTTTTTTGTTGGCATTGTTTTTAAGAATACCGAGACCTTTCTGCCCTTTGCTCTGCTGGCTATTTTCTCACATTGTCCAATCTACAGCCATATTTGTATCTGATGTTATAAGTCACTTTACTGCCTACCTACTACCCTTGGTCACTTGAGACCTTCTATATTATGTATCACTTCTTTATGCCACAGCCAGCAGGCTTCTTCTCTTCAATCATCTGATCATCTTCTTTCCACCTTCTGACTGCTATCTGCTGACTAGTGTTCTTAAATACCCTCAGGATTGGTGCAACAGACCTCGACTTTATGATTGCAAAAGCTACCCTTTCTATTGGACAATAAATACGAGGGTAATATATTTTTTCCGAATTTGAAAAATGAATCCCCAACATTCAGCCATGACAGTTATTTCTGGTGGTTCTTTTTAGAACAAATTCTAAATAAATAAAAAAATCTTTTACACTCAAAATAAAAATTTTGACTATACCATCTGGTTTTCCTTTAATATACTTCTCCCAAAAGTAAGTGTATAAGACAAATTGAGGCTATTTAACATTTATTTACTCACACTTTTTAATTTATTATTATTTTTAATTATTTTATGCTATCAATAAAAAATATCTACCCGGCTCATACCAGGTAGGGTTTATCATCTCTCAGTTGCATCTCTGTCTTTGGGAAGAGTGTGACACAGTTGTGGTTCTGCCCACAGACAGAGCCACAGCTAAGAAAAATAAATACTGTGGTCTGAGGCTGCTCCCCAACTCATTGCACTAGAGAGGGGCAAATCAGTAGTTGCTAGCAAGGCCAGCATAACGGAGCTTGGAAATTTTTGCTCTTGGCCCGGGTGTACACTCTTAGGTTCCCCATGGTAAACCTGACCTTGTGTCACATCACATCTCAGTGGGAGAGATGAGGTAAATATTACTAATAAAAAATGTTATATGGACCAAATAGTACAAACTTAAGATTTAGTAAAAAACAGAGCAAACAATTAAAAAGACAGTGATACCTTGATTTATGTCGTTTCAAGTTAAATCATTTCTGAAGATATGTCGGTTTTTCTTAAATATTATATGGAAAAAATAAAACGCACTTTAGGTTGTTTTACTTGAATTTACATTGGCATTTATAATATTAGAAATGTCAAAATACTAAAATAACAAAGACCTACAAAATCATATTTAAATAAATTTAAAAATAATATGTATAATATATAATATATATATATATATATATATATATATATATATATATATATATATATATATATATATATATATATGTGTGTGTGTATCATAAAATCATCAAAAACAAAACAATTAGCATAATAAAGCATGTTCAGCAGAGGTTCTTATTTCAAATTCCTGCTGACAGGCAGCACTCATGCATTGTTTTCTGCTCCAACAGTGATTTTTAATTCAGACATGTTTACATCTGTGCTCTGCTGTTGACGTTCTTTCAATAACATTTTCAATTGCAATTTAATATTGGACAGATATTAGTTGATAACACAACAATACTCACATATACACACAGTAAAAAGAACCTTCAGATATTGGAGGCCATCTACATTAAAACAAAGCAACCAACATTCAACAAAATTACATTTCAAACTAGTCAGAACACATTACATTGCATCAAAACATGGTTCTGTTGTTAATATTTTGTTCTCACACATGGTACGACATCATAGAACTTCATCATGAATTTATGACCTGCATCTGCTATTCCATGACCATTATCATCACATAGCAAATTTCTATGTCAACATAACAGAATATCATCTTTGACGGTGAATATCTTTGTTTAAATGTTCATATAACCACTCTGAAGATGGCTCATGTGAGCCAAAAGCTTAGAGCAAGGAACAGCATAATAAAAAATATCTAAATATTGGACAGTTCTTGTCTATATTTTCTCCCAAAATTAAAGCAACCATACAAAGCTTAGAACAGCTCATGATCAAACATAATAGATATTTGTTGTCTGTTATATTTAACAATATGTTTGAATAATGATCTACTTTAATACTATATATATATATATATATATATATATATATATATATATATATATATATATATATATATATATATAAATCAAATCACACTTTTTCAATTTTACTCCTAGAGGCTGTAGCATATCATACCATATTGGAATCAGGCAGACACTGAGTAAATTAAAAACATTCCAGGCTGGATCTAGACCCACAATCCTTAAAATTTTGGATTCCCAAGTTTTCATTACTGCGATTGTTTTTGGCAATTTTTTTTCCATGATTTTTTGCAACAAATTTTTTTGTATGATATAAATTTTTGTAATTTGGAAATAAATTTGGGAATAATCAAAATTAATTGCAAAATCCAGCAAAAGTCACCCATGAAATAAAAATAATTATTTGTACAAAAAGTAAGGACCTCCATACATCAAATTGTCTTTAAATTAAATGTTGGCAGAGGAATTATCATTGAACTTTTAAAAGGTAAGCTTAAACATTAATGCAATACTTAAATATGATCAATTTTAAATTCTTCTATAGTTTATTGTTGCCTATCACATGCAGCAGCAGTATGCCTTGCAAAAAGAAATCTCCATCAACGGAGGACCAGATTGCAATCAAAAGAGCCAAGGCAGCAGTGAGGAAAAAAGTCCCTTGCAAATGAAAACCCAGAAAAAATGGCAGCCAGGAGAGCTTCCAATGTCAGAATATGCAAAGACTTAGGGACTCTCAAACTCCTGAACAAGAGCACTGCACAGGAGTTAGCTTAATTGCCACCAGATAGGGTGGCTTTTAAGCTACTGTGTGTGTGTGTATATATATATATATATATATATATATATAGATGAATTTAGACCACCACACCATGGCAAAATGCTGCGATGCCTGTATTTAATGCTGCAGTGCCCTTAAAAAAACAAGCCACGTCCACAGCAATTTTTGTCATCAACTTCAAAAAAAAATATTAAGAAATGAAAAATGTTACTTTTTTTCTTAATAAGGTGGTGATGGGGATTTTCCAAGAAAAAAATTGACTAGATCCCTATGCAGATATATTTTCAAAAAAAAGAGGTAGATGAAAGGCATTTCAACAAATGTTTTACAAGTTTATTTCAATCTTGCAACATTTACCGGAAATGAACATCACATTACATAGTAATAATACATTTTATATTAAAACTAAGACTTAAATAGACTAGTCCCTCAAAACAAAAACTACATATCAAAAAGTCAGGGATCAGTTTGACATATTTATATTGTAAACAGGATCCCCACCCCCCATTTAAAATATTAAAAAATTAATGTTTTTTCAATTCTGACAAATTGCCTGCATAGAGGAAGTTCTAAATGCTAGGAAACAAAAATTAGTCAAGAAAATTTTTTTTTTTTATCTACAAGAAATTACTAATTAATATTCTTGCCGGAAAGTAAAGGATTGTTTTGACATTTACTGTACATATTTATTTATTTATTTTTTGATTGTTTTAATGGTTATTTTGATTTTATATTGAAAAAGCTTTATATTTTTATACAGTAATAAAACAACCTCGTCCTTTCTACAACATATTCTGAGGTAATAATATTGTAATGTTTGATTTCTTTTTTTGAAAATGTTCCACTGTAATGTATCATTGCTAATAAGTCATCATAATCTATGTTATTTGTCAATAAAAAGATTTGGATTTAAAAATTTTTGTTTATTTTTATCAATTGTTTAAATATTTGTTATTAATTTGTTAATAATTACTTGTTACAAATAAAAAAACAAATTTTGCAAATTCTAAAAAATGGCTGCGGTGCACTTAGTTATTGTTGTGGTGACTTCATTTTTAAGAGGTCCACCAAAGCAATTATTGCTTACCTCTTCTTAGGCTAAACTCATCCCAGTGTGTGTGTGTGTATATATATATATATATATATATGAAGAAATATAATTTTAAGGTGTGCTATATTTATGAGATAAAGTGCTCAATATCAGAATTCTATAGTATAATTTAATATTTATTAGAATGAATTCTATTTTATTTTAACCCTAACATTAAAGCATTAATTAATTATTATAACCAAAGTTTGTTGTCAAGTTTTTTGAATTCTCATATACTTGTATTTTGATTGGTCATTCCAGCTTATGTAACAGCGTTTCCCCTAGCGAGGGGTGTTTGATTGATTTGAAGCTTTTAGAAACCTTTATTCTACATTCAACACCATCACTTGATAAGACACCAGAAGTATCGAAACAAAATGGCTATTTTTGCAGTAATTTTATAACCTATTTATGTTAGAATTTTCGAATAAATAATTATATTTGCTCTACTCTGTATTGGGCACTCTTTTAAGAATAGTATTTTTTGGTTATTGGATTTATTCCGTATACATCAATCCTATATTTGTATTATTTTATATATATACATATGTGAAAATATATAGAAAATAGGTTTTCGGCTCTTGTTTTGAAACATGAGACCTCTTATGTAGATTTATTTGCAATCATATTTTTAAATAAATAATTATATATATATATATATATATATATATATATATATATATATATATATAGAGAGAGAGAGAGAGAGAGAGATAATAATTTTATATATATATATATATATATGGATTAATGAGAGTAAAAATTTTGTCACTTAGTTGATTGATGTTACCGTCAAGACTCACTCCAGATGCATACATTATTATATTTGTAGAACAGGTATTAAGAAGCCATAAGATAACAATTGATATTACTTTTAAATTTTTGAAGAGCAAATTTGACTAGAAAACAAGAGGCAAAAACAGACTTCCACAAGCAAGAAGTTCAAGAGAAGAAACTGTCAGCACAGAACTTACACCTAGCAATTTCAACTTTAAAATGATGAAACCTAACTGCCAATCTAGTACTGTGCTTGAGATAAAAAAATATTATATATATATATATATATATATATATATATATATATATTCATCCTGCCAAAAGGAACATAATTGCCTTCTACATCATGATTCTGTTTGTGATTCCACAATTGCGGAAATTAGGTTCTTCGAAATAGGTGAAAAAAAGCCAGTTAAAATCAGATGAAAGTAGCATACAGGAGTAGAGGATGTTCCTTACAAGGAAAATTGAATGCTGCAGTGTATAAGAACATTATTGAACAGCACATGATCTCCCAATGGTATGAGCTCTCAATTTGGTATCTATGCTGATGACACAGTTATTCAGTTCAATAAGGTCAAACTGCAGTTTCTGTTGTTAAATGGGGCAAGGGCTGAGTTGTCAGTTTTAATTCCTCCAAAATGAAACTTCTATCTATTAATTATCTGCGAGACCCCTTTCTGCCTTCCATCATGATAACCTCCAGAAGAGTAACTTGTTGCACCTTCTTGGGATAACATTCTCAGTAGACATGAAGTGGAAAGACTATATTGAGTCCATTGCTAGGTAAGCTCCTAAAAAATCTGGTTCACTGTGCCATGCTTGACAATTTTTCTCTCCAAAATGTCTTACATATCTATAAGTCTACCATTCGTTAATGGTTTGAATATTGCTGCCACATATGATTTGGTGTTCTGCTATATATCTAAAGATCCTTGATAAAATCCAAAGAAGAATCAGCAATATTATTGGTCCTGATCTGACATCTTGGCTTCAATCACTTTCCCACTGCAGTAAGGTTGCTTCACTGTGCCTTTTCTATAAATACTTTCATGGTAATTGTTTGGAGACAATGAAGTATTATGGTGGATGTAGTAAGAAAGGTAAGTAAGAATGTGTTGTTTTGGTGTAAGGAAGTTTGTGGCTATGTTTAAGTTTAATGTTAAGACAGAAGAAGACCATCTTTTCTCCCCATTCCCCATTTTGGCCTTGTGCCACATTTTGTAAATAAATTACAAATAAATATCACTCTTTGCTATGATATCTAGACTTTATGAAAGTTAGTGCAGTACTAAACTGGTGATGAGCTCTGACCAGTTTGCAGTTGTGTTGGTTAGTTGTAACTGTAAGTTCTATACTAAGAGATTTTTTCTCACACTTCTCCTTTCTGAAACTCTCTTACAGCTCCATACTTTCCAGCCAACTTTATTCTTCAAAAGTGTAAATATCATGTCAATTGCTATCCACTATCCTTGTGATTACTCTTCTTTTGTTCTTGTTCCTTGGTAATGTTTCCGTTTTCTACTTCTTTCACACCCAGTAACCCTTTGTGTCTTAGTGGCTTTACTGCCTTGCTTGAAGTGAACTCAATTAAAAAAAAACAATTCTTTAATGCTAAAAACTTTGAGGTTATGGCTTTCCCAAAATAAAGACATTAATAAAATTGAGAATGTTTAGAATGTCATCAACAACAAGGTTAAGGGAAGGAAACCAATAAAATTACTGTATTCATAAGGCACCCTTTTTTTACCTCAAAATTTTCTTGCATCCTATACTCCAAAGGTATGGATAATATATATGTGCAATTTAAACATATCTTACTTAAAAGCTAACCTCAAATGATGCCTTATTAATATATCCCCAAAACAAAACCTATCAGACATTATAAAAGCACTGAATATTGAACCCATTATCGAATTGACAGACAAGGAAGAAATTAGCAACACCAATATTCTATAAATCTGAAACAATAACAAATTAGATTTCAACTTTTACCAGAAACCAATAAATAAAACAGACTAAATAAATGTTTATTCCTATAAATAATATTCCAGAATAAAATCAAGTTTAATTATAGATTCAGTCTAAGAGTTCTTACAATATATAGCTTGGAATACCAACACCTAACATGGAAACCACCTGAAAAGATTTAGCTTAATGTCATACCACATTGAAATGCCACTTCTAATCCAAACGCTGAAGTTAAGCAATGTTGATCCTGGTCAGTACCTAGATGGGTGACCACTTAGGAATACCAGGTGCTGTTAGCTTGGATGTGCAGGTGGTGTGATGGATAATGGCTCAGAATAAGAAATCAGAGCTGAATTTGAATTCCAGTTGAGTTTGTTATATTCACTGATACACAAATACTCTTGTGAATGATATGAATCCACATCTTCTACCTCCAGCTATGAGTTAAATAGCAGGACAGACTGCGTCCTATAACCTTGATTTAGCAACCAGTCTACAGCAGAAAGTAAAGGCAGCCTACTGCAGAAATTCTTCTGCCAAGTTAGTCATTAATCAAAAAGAGATGTGATCACTTGAGTGTGCATTGCCCAAATGTTAAATACATATAGCTACAAAAAGAAAAAAAAATTCACCAAGATTAAATGGGAAATCCTAAAAGGTATATTCTTGCAATATCAATTGCTGTCACTGCAGACTATGCTTAGAAGAAAAATTACAAATAGTTTAAAAAATCCCAAAAAATGAAATTCTAGGAAAATGAGGACATATTAATAAATATCTTTTTTTTATATAAAACCAGATTTTTTTTAAAGTATTATGAAAAAATTAGAAACAATTTTATAGATTTCGAGATGTCAAATACACCTAATATACTAAAGAAATTTTCAACAGATAGTAGCTTTTATAATTCATAATATATTTACATATATTCTTACACATAACATTAAATAATTAGTAATAATAATAAAGCAATTATCAAAAAAAAATAGATAAATGAATAAATTATATATATATATATATATATATATATATATATGTGTGAGAAAAATAATAATTTTAAAAATTAAATAAAGAAATAATTATTTTTATTATTATGATGATTATTTTATTATTATGATTACTATTATTAGCAAAAAATGGGATATATATATATATATATATATATATGTCTTTTCTTTTCCTTTTCCTGTGAAAGGACTTATTAAATATGTCAATATCTGACACTCTATCCTATTCCTATCTCTCCCTTCCCCCTAATTTCTATCATATATGTCATCCGCCTCCTCCCCGTCTCTCTGTCACCTTACATCAACTTAAAAATACCCCTCAAAAACTTGTATAAAAATAATATGTAAATTTTTAAACCATTTTCTTTTATGCTTAGAAATGTGATTTGAGGAACCAGGAAAATATCGCTTTCCTGGGGAAATAAAATATAATCAATGGACCCTTGCCTGTTCTTTAATTAAACTAATACTCACTCTGTTTTTATATTGAGCTCTCTGGATTACATCCTCTTTGGGATTATCCATACGGATTACCAAACATTTCATTACCTAACTATATATATATATATATATATATATATATATATATATATATATATATATAGTGTGTGTGTGCAATGGATAAATTGTTGTCTAAATTACACAAAAATGAAAATAGCAATGACATCACATTTTAACAGATATATTTACCAAAATTACAGAAAAATATCTTGAAATACTAGAGAGTAAATTTATTCAATAAAATTGCCATTGGTTTCAACCACAGTCCCTAGATGACTTCAGAATCATCTGCAACTCTTCTTGACGGTCTCCTTGTTTAAATTGGTGAATGCTACCATAATCCTTGCCTTCATATAATAATCAAATGGGCTGCAGTCTGGGGAGTTAGCTGGCCAGATGTAAAAGGGTGATGTATTCACAGAAATTGTCTGACTGCCATGATTGGGATCACTTGCTTGCGTGACATGGTGCCAAACATAGGGGCTTCCAGCAGGCATCATCTTGACGCAAGGCAGTACTACTTCCTTAAGACACTTGATGTAGGCCTCCATGTTAATTGTGAGGCCCTGTTGGAAGATGAATGGAGGCATAATGTCACCATTACTAGTGATCACTCTAGACACCATGATGTTGACTGGATATTTGATTTTCATAATTGTTGGTAATCTGCACTGTCCTCAGATTGGCACCTAAACACTCTGAAATGTTTGTACTGGAGATTCCAGCATGAATGCCAAGCAGTACAGCATATCATTTCCAAATTTCTGGCACTGTGAATTGTGTCGTAGTGCTCTTTTTCTCACAGATGGTGTCCAACTGGCCCTACTATACTGTGCAGTCAACAAAATCAAAAACAAACAACGCGGATGCGTGAAATAAAAAATATAACATGGCGACAATTTACCCATCGCACCCTGTATGTACAAATATTATAAAGTTATGGGCACATACCCAAGGAGTTAGAATGTTTGCTTTCCATCCATGAGATCCATGTTAAATCTCATTGTGATCAAGGTGACTTCTTTAGGTTATCTCTCTGAGGGAGGTGATCACAGCATGCAGCACCTTTGGAAAGTGCCTGAAAACCATACCATAGGTTTACCCAAGCCTTGTGAGTGAAATTGGGTAGACAGAACTATTTGTGAGTCATCAATGGTTGTGCTAGCACAAAGTTGCAAGTCATCATGGCTGAGGGTTTGAGCATACTGGTCTTGTTCAGACTGTTGATCATGCCAGATAATGTTCTCTTTCCCAGAAACTCTAAGGTTCACTCAACATAGTTGCAATATAAACCACCAGAGGGCTCTGTTGGTGTTGAACAAACACAAATGTACCTGAGCAAGCGTCTGCAACAGGAATTGGCTAGTCACTATAGTAGGCAGGCATACTCAGATACAAGCAGCCAACCACCACTATTATAAAATTTTTTAACTTTATAATTTTATAACATTATAAAGTTAAAAAAAAATGAATAAAAATCTCTATCTATAAAAGGCAGGATGTGTGTGTGTGCGTGTGTAACGAATGCATGGCCGCAATTTTCGACGGATTTGCACCAAAATTTACACGCACATGCTCCAAGTTAACAGGAAGACCAAGATCAACTTTGCATTACCCAACTCCCATCGGTAGGGGAAATAATAAATATTTTCATGCTTCTACGGCAGTTTTCATGTAGTTTGCAGCCATTTTCTACTGGCCACAGTGAGAACCTATAGCTGCTGCCACGAATAGGCAGGAAGATTCTATTGGCCAGCGTGAGAGCCAACAGCTAACTGACACGAATGTTAACTAGCATGCTAATGCAAAAAAAAATCGATAGCTGCATTCGTCACAAGTGGGAAAAATTTAACTCTTCATGACACTTTACTCCAATTGGCTCATTCTCTTGCTTAAACTCAACGTTGATTTTGATTCCGCAGAACTGGGTTGGGTGTGAAAAAGTATTTCTTGTTAACATTCTTTTTTCATTTGTTTTTTCCAGTTACGAGTCCTTTTTTAAAGCTGATCATTTTGCGTTAATTTTGTTTAGTTCTTTTTTTGTAACAGATTTAATGTTTAGTATAGAGCTTAGAAAAAATTTGCAGTGTGAGATAGGCAAGAAGTAAGGCATGTAGCAACATCAGCACGCCAAAGGGCACTCCTTTAAAGGCAAGGAAGAGCAAAAATATTTTAAGTCAAGTGATAGCGATTGCTGTATGAGTTGTACGATTTTTGAATCAAGCACGGGCAACGCCGGGCCATGCTGCTAGTATGATATAAAATAATAATAAAGAAAATAATTTAAAAAAATATATAGAATCAATCAAATAAATAAAAAGTAAATAAATAATTATACTTGCCCAATAGAATTCTCAGTAATTTTGAATATGACAATAATTTAAATGTATCTAATGTTTGATAAATATTGGTAACATTTGCTAGATTTAATATTATTAAGATGTTGACACAAATACCATTTATAATGGTGGAATTATAAAATTAAACATCAATTTAAATTTTGTTATGCTATAACATATTTCTTAGTGTTTAAACATAGTCACATACTTAATATAAAACAGGTTTGAAATTTATCTGGAGTCAATGCTGCATATGAATTAAAAGAGAAAAAAATCAGAGATTTACTCAGCATGGGTTAAATTTCAAATGCAGCAGACACTAACAGCTTAAATAAAATTAAAAAAAAACAACAGCTTTCTGGCTTCACCATCCAATAAAGATCTTTGGCAAACTTTAACCTTTGTACCCATCAAAAAATGATGCATCAAAAAGATGTTTTTTCCCTTGACACTGCTATTATTTTGTACTACATTCATTCCTTTAGCAATGTTTATTTACAAGATAATATCTGAACCAAGTACAATGTGATATTTATTATTTACCCTTTATAAAGATTTATTATCATTATTTATTTTTATAAAGAAATAAATGTGAAAAGAAATCTTTTTATTTAAAAATTTTAAAAAATTATCAAAATATGTAAACCATCTACAATGCAATATTTATTATTTACTATTTCATAAATAATTATGAAAACAAGTTTTTTTATTCATAAATTTTCATCTAAACTTTTCTGTTAGCCTGATGTACATTTGTGAGAATTCTTAAATTTAAAAAATTTGTAAAACTAATATTTTTACTTTTGTTTATAAATACTTGTTGCAAAATAAAATCCTTACCTTTGTCTTGATCAAAAGACAAAATGCACAAAGTCTTTCTTTTATCTTTATATTATAAAGTATGTATGGTAGCATGAGAGAACAAACAATACAAAAAGTACCACCAATGAGGCAAAAAGAAGAGGAAACTGTTAATTCTTTGTATTACTGATATAGAGGATGAAGGTAGAATGTCTCTTTGTGGACAAGGTAAGCAACTTGGAGGAAGGGGAGAATTGGTAGGGCCTGGAGTTGATGTGTATATCAGGTCAGTTGACCGAGGTCACTGGTGGTGATATTGACAGCTTGCCCTCTCATCTGCAACTCTACTTTCAGTGTTGTGAGTAGTGTCCTGAAAAGCAGACAGGGTGAATCATGACTTAGCAATTTTTTTTTTTTGTCATGCTTTTGTTTTAGCTGCAATATTCATAATTGGCTCATTTTTTTTATTGTATTTCATATTTTGGGAGAAGGGGATTTGTTTTCTGAGCCAGAAGTGATGCTTGGAGCCACTGCACAGAGAGCAACTTTTTTATTTTTAGTTTTGCTTTTGTAACCTTCACATCTGGCTGACAGGTTTTGATGTAGAGTAACTCAGAAAGAGGTCTCGTTCAAAGCAGGGTTTAACAT